AGCAGCAGCAATGATGGGCTCAATTGTAACTATTTTGAGTATGGCACAGGACTGGGTAGTGTTTCGTTCTATTGTGCATAGGGTTGTTATGAGTTGATATGGAGTCAACTGCACCTAACAAAAACATCATATATTAAGAAATCCTTGGGAGATGCAAATGGTTATAAGTGCTGTTCAGTCAGTTCCGACTCATAGCAATTCTGTATAGGGTTTCTGAGGTGCAGCTGGTGGGTTTGAACCATAGACCTTGTGGTTCAAAATGACTTTGTAGTCTAGTTCCCTACAGTGCCATGCTAGGACTCCAAAAAAGAAAGAGAAATGTTCTTTCCACAGGTTCACCTACAGAAAACTTGTTTCGACTTTTACTTCCTCTAGCTAGTCAAGTTTGTCCTTGGAAGGGCAATCCCTGGGCCTCACTAAACCATCCAATTGGTAGTAGCAAGTGGCAGTGTGTACAAAGGGCAGGATGTGCTTAGCTGCTAACTAAAAGGATGCTAGTTCTAAGCCACTCAGAGATGCTGCAGAAGAAAATCCTTATGATCTACATCCAAAATATGAGTCATTGAAAACCCTGGGGAGTATAGTTCTACTATTATACATATGGGGTCACTATGAATCGGAATCAACTCAATGACAACTATTTTGGTTTGCGTATTGTCAATGCCATTGACACATACAGGAATTATGTTGGTGCTGTGGGTTAGGTTTTAGACAACTAATCACAAAGTAGGTGGTTCAAACCCAGAAAGATGTTTACCTGTGCTTTATTGACTATGCAAAGGCTTTCGATTGTGTGGATCATGACAAGCTATGGACAACATTGTGAAGTATGAGTATTCCAGAACACTTAATTGTGCTCATGAGGAATCTGTACCTGGACCAAGAGGCAGTTGTTCGAACAGAACATGGGAACACTGAATGTTTTAAAATTAAGAAAGGTGTGTGGCAAGGTTGTAGTCTTTCACCATACTTATTCAACCTGTATGCTAAGCAAATAATCCGAGAAGCTGGGTTCTATGAAGAAAAATGTGGCATCAGGATTGGAGAAAGACTCATTAACAACCTGTGATATACAGATGATACAACCTTGCTTGCTGAAAGTAAAGAGGACTTAAAACATTTACTGATGAAGATCAAAGAGCACAGCCTTCAATATGGATTACATCTCAATGTCAAGAAAACAAAAATCCTCACTACTGGACCAATAAACAGCATTCTTATCAATGGAGAAAAAATTGATAAAGTTGTCAAGGACTTCATTCTTCTTGGATCAGCTATGAACATTCATGGAAGCAGCAGTCAAGAAATTAGACAATGTATTGCATTAGGCACAGATGATGTATTGCATTAGGCAAATGTGCTGCACATGACCTTTTTAAAGTGTTAAAGAGCAAAGATGTCAGCTTGAAGACTAAGGTGCGCCTGACCCAAGCCATGGTATTTCAGTAACCTCATACGATTGCGAAAGCTGGACAGTGAATAAGGAAGACCATAGAAGAATTGATGCATTCGAGTTATGGTGTTGGAGGAGAATATTGAATGTGCTATGGGATGCCAAAAGAACCAATAGATCCATTTTGGAAGAAGTGCAGCCAGAGTGCTCCTTGGAGGCCAAGATGGCCAAACGTCAATTCTCATACTCTGGACATATTGTCAGGAGGGAGCAGTTGCTGGAGAAGGATATCATATTTGGTAAGGTGGAGGGTCAGAGAAAAAGAGGAAGACCCCCAATGAGATGGCAAGTGGCAGCATTGATGGACTCAAGCGTGGCAACAATAGTGAGGTTGTCCCAGGATTGGGCAGTGTTTTGTTCTGCTGTGCATAAGGTTGCTTCAGTACTGACTCGATGGCACCTAACAACAACAAAATATGTAACTACTTTTTGAGAGGTTTCTGTAGTCTGACAACCTATGGTTTTAACTTTACATGTTTTATTTTTCATCATTACATTTAAACTTTATACTTCAAACAACTGGCATCTTCATCTTCTGTGTACTTACATATGCATAGGTTTATTAAAAAAATAAAGTAGACTAACAACTCCTGAAGGGTGGTTCTAATTTCTACTTCCCGCCTGTATTTCAGCTTATGTTTCGGAGTTCCTGTGAAAAATAAAACAAAAATTTTCTTTGCATTATTATGTAATTATTAATTTATTTTACAATGTTGGAAAAGAACAGTCACTTTTAGAATTAATCATTTAATTTACAATGTTGGAAAAGAACAGTCACTTTTAGAATTAATCATTTAATTTACAATGTTGGAAAAGAACAGTGGCTTTTAGCTGCTACACTGTGCCAAGGCGGGCTTCAGTGACTTCTGGCTTTTCTGATTTAGCCTTGTATGAGACAGGGCTAATTAGGGTTTTCCTCTGGGGGTAAGTTGGCAGTAGCTTAATCATTGCATACTACTACATTTTGGAACATGTATGCTTTCTCATTATTAGTTGTGTCTTAAAATAAACAAGCAAAATACAAAACAAGCAAAAAAAAAACAAAAAACACCCTCATCTATTCCCAATCTTCTCCATCTGTCAATTCACCTTCTTGGGAAGGCTGGTTTCAGCTGGAGAATAAAAAAGCCCTCTCATTGGGGTTCTGTCCAGGCCATGACCCCCTTGGTTCAAAAACGGGCTTCGGAGAGCTTCCTAGAAACGGTCTCGCATCTGGCAAGAGACAAGTGCCATTTTTTCCCTCAGGGTTTCAGTTTCTAGTCAGTGAATTGAGACCACTTGACCCTTTCCCACTTCTCAAGACAAAGCTCTGAGGGCTAAATGTGCATGCAGTCGGTCCTTTCTCACATGAATAGAAATTTGGTATTACAGGGTTCCTTCCCGGGTATCTGAAACTGCCAAATCAGACTCGTCCCACCCACTCCAAAACGCAGTCCTCACCGCCTAGGTGCCACCTGGAGGCCTCGGCCATGGCGGACCTGAACGAAGGCACCCGTTTTCCCAGCCCGACTCTGCTACGCCTGCGCAGTAGTATCGCGGTGTGTTCCCTCTACCTCATGCGCCTGCGCGAGACCCCCAGCCCCAGGGGTTCTAAATACATCACTAATAGCCCGTGTGCGTGTAATCAAAGACTCGTTGGGAAGCAAGTCGCTTGCGTGGGAGTTTGGGACTGCGGTATTTGTGTTCAGCATGAGTTTAGCAATTGAGAAAAAACAGACTTTGTGTCTGGGATTAATATAAAAACCGTAGTATGTCTAATTATTGCTGCCCTTAAAATTTAACGTCTTCACTTCCAAGTCCCTGAAAGGTAGGTTTCTCTCCGTTTCAGGTCTGAGGAAATCAAGGCTTTGAGAGGTTAAATAACTTACCTGAAGTAGAGGGCCGGTCAACGCAGTTTATGCCGAATGCTAAAGCCGAAATTTCTAACCTGCTGCAGAAACTGGTTAATATTAATCGAGAGTGTTGCTGGAAATAGCGCCCACTCTCTCTTTCCCCAGCATGACTAAAGAAAACGTTAAAATAGACTGAAAACAAACCAAAACATCATCTCTGCAGTGATTATGTAAAACGTCAGACCCCAAACAGGAAACTTCGGGATCCCAAGACCTATATCAGGCCCAGAAACTTTGCAGAGATAAAAAGGTTTGTAAACCAGGCCAGTGACCCCATAGTAGGGCTTCCAAGGAGCGGCTGGTGGGTTTGAACTGCCGACCTTTCGGTTAGTGCTTATCCCACTGTGCTACACCAGCTATAGAAAAGGCCAAAGAAATCTGGTTGTAAATTAAGGCAGCCAAAAGCACGCCAGGACATGGCAGGAAAGGATTCTCAAGTTGGTAAAATGGGAAATAAAACGGAATTCAATTCAGAAGCTCTAGAAGGCTGCCAGCAAAGAAAATTGCTTACCAGTGTTGAAAGTAAAAAAGTCACTTTTGTTATTTCTCTGAAAGAGATGTAGGTAAATGCTGTTTTTTTGTGTAGTTAAAAAGAAAACTAGGCCATCAGAAGTGAAGGCCAAGAACTACCAATGATGAAAGGAACAGGAGAGAACTAGCAAAAGGCAATATAATAGGCACTGGGGAACGACCTGAGAAAAAGAAAGAGTTACCGTGCTAGCTTGAGAATCGTTTTATAAAAGGATTTGCCCTTTCCTGCAGTTGGACGCTTAGACGCTCAAAAAATTATGCTTTCTGATGTGACAGACTACACACTGAATAAAGTTGAAATAGAAAAACACCAACATGCAAGTATCTGAATTCACATTAAATATGGGAGGTATACAGATAACCCACTGAGTTGGATAGACCCAAAGATCTTGAAGAATTATAGATCTATTTGTTTACAACAAAATGATCATTTCAGGGTCAATTCAGTCATACTTGAAGTTATGGTGGCCTTTGAAGTATAAATCATAGACAGTATAGCTCAGTTTCAGAAGACACCAAGAAGACAGATTCTAGAAAATAATAATGGCGCCCTTTGGGAATTTATTATAGGTTTTGCTGAGTGTTGTTTGTGGTGGTGATGTGCTGTGGAGTTGGTTCCGACTCAAAAAAAAAAAAAAAGTTTTATTTTAACGGTCTGGATTTTTGTGGAGAGGAAACAGTCTTTTAAATGCTTTAAATTTTATTCTCTTTTGACATAAAACTATGGAACACTCAGATAATCTATACCATGTTAGTATTCCTATAACAAAAACAGGTAATATAGTATTTAGGAATGGTACCAGTAAACTTTATCTTGTTACAAGTATTAGAGTGTTTAAAATGTTGATAATAGTTCATAACCTGTCAGATGTATATGATTTAAATATTAAAATTTCACATTTTAAGATAATTTTCTATAGTTACAAACCCATACACTCAAGATTTTCTGTAGGCTTTACAGACCAGAAAAGTATATAGAATGTGCAAGAGTCAAAGGAAAAATAATATGTATTAGCTATATTACCTAATTAAAGCAATAATCTGTTAATACAGCTATGGGTTTATTTCAAAAATTTAATTGACTATATTATTATTAATAATATTTTCCAATGTTGGTAAAGTTATTAAAGTTCTTCACTTTCATAGAGTCCAGATTGAGCTGCTAGACGCTGAAACTCTCCTTCTGGGTTAAAAGCTTGTTTCACATCCAAACCTTTCCCATTGAGTGCTAAATATTTGCTGAAAGTTGGTCGAACACGTAACTGCTTTGGAGCTGGAAGACTTTGGTTTGGACGGGCTGAAATAAATAAAATAAAAGTTAATTCAGAAAATCTATTTTAAACCAAGTGGTTTGTACTAGATAATCATTATCATACAGGAAAGGAAAAAGAATCAAAACTGATTACATGTGTGTGGGGAAATTCCTCTGACTTTATGCTATGCTGAGCTTTGCATTTTTTTATTAATCTTCGTTAAGCCCTTTAGAACACCTGGGTTGTTAGACTAATGTACCTGTAACATCTAATCTTGTATTGCATGTGGTCACTCCAGCTTCATTAACTGCAGACACAGTATACCACCCAGCATCTTTCTTGTTTACATCTTTTATCAGCAAAGTAATTCTTCCAGAGTTATCATGATACAAGCTGAAAAGAAACATTTTTAACATAAAAGTTCAGGAATTAATTTTCTTGTGAAAGTTTGTTATTTCTCGACCATTAGAAAAATGAAAAATAACCATTTGAAAATTCTGAAGCTATGTCTAGTCAAATAGCTGTTGGTTTTCTTGAGTTAAGTGTGGCATTGTAGGATAAGCACTGGACTGCTAACTGCAAGGTCTGCAGTTCAAACCCACTAACCACTCCTTGGATACCTTATATATTGGATCTCTATGAGTTGGAACCAACTCGATGACACTTAACAACAGCAATCTTGGTTATGTTATTTTTTTTTCTTAGCCATCTTTCTTTATTAGTAGTAAAACTACACAAATACAGTTTATAAATGCATGCCATTTTTAGTGTTTTTGAAGTATATCTAAATTGATCCAAATAAACTCAAAGTTTAGGTAGTTATCCTACCTTATTCGGTCTGTGTTGAATTGTACCATTTCATTATTTCTTTTCCAGAAAAGCTTTGGTGGAGGTATAGCCGAGATCTGGCATTCTAGTTTCACTGAATCTCCCTCAAAAACTTTTTTGCTCTGTGGTTTGTAGATAAACATTGGTGCTCTTCTATGTTCTTTTGCTACATATTAAGAAAAATATTTCAAATATTTGAAATATTGTGGGAAAAGGCATTTAATCAAATCAAAGTATTATGAAGTGTGTACAGTGATATAAAGTTTTTAAAAGTATCAAAATTTCAAAACTTTATGTTTTAGATTCAGATAAAATGATATGCAGAGCTACTATATACCATTCAGACTTCCAAAACAGTAATGCATTGAATGTATAATCATGTTTCATGCAAAGAATTTAATGTTATTTTCATTCATCATCTCATTTACAGAGATGAGTGGTGGAAAGGTTCAAGTTCCCTATTTGTCCTACCAACTATGCCAAATTGGGATAAATTTAACTTATCTGAGCCTCAGTTTTATGTATTATACAATGATTTCTAATTAGTAGTGAGTCCTGGTATGCTGCTGTGGGTTAATGCAACAGACTGCAAAGCCGTTTGAACTGCAAGGTTGGCGGTTCAAGCTCACCAGCTGCTCCTCAGAAACCCTATATGGGGTCGCTGTGGGTTGGAACTGACTGGACGGCTCTTAACAACAACAACAACTGGTAGTTCAAGCTCATCAGCTGTTCCCCGGAAACCCTATATAGGGTTACTGTGGTTCGGAACCGACTCGATGGCACTTAACAACAACAACAACAACTGTACCTTCCATATAAGACTTTAGTGCGTGTGGATCAATTGAGATAATGAATGAAGAGGCATACTGTAAACTATAAAGTAGTATGTAAATATCAGTAGTTACTATGATTTAATTTTTATTCAGATACCTCAGGGGAAAAAAGATACTGTCATACAGTATCTCTGGTTTTTCTGATATTGGATAGGTGACTGCCAAGACCTCTTTCAGTTTTAGCATTATAGTATTTGTGGAGCTGTTGGCACAAGAAGGACTTGTCTAAAGCTCAGTCACTTGAATTATGTTTTTCTGATTACCATCTCAACAGTTTTTCCCTTAGACTGTGGTCCCTCAGTTTAAAATAGAGCAATTATAAAGATTTTGGTAGAATACAAATTCAAGATAATCGTCTGTCCTTTAACCTGATGAAGATTTATATACTAAATGGAATTATAGCAAACATTCTCTTTTCAGTGGTGGTGGTGGGTGTTGCCATGGAGTCGGTTCTGACTCATAGCGACCCTGTATAGTGTTTCTGAGGCTATAAATCTTTAAGAGTGCAGAAAGTCTCATCTTTCTTTCAGAATGACTGGTATTTTCAAACGGCTGACCTTGAGATTAACAGTCCAACTCATAACCACTATGCTACCAGAATACTCTGTTTAAATCATTATTGATGTGATATATTTAAAGCACTTAAGTTGACAAATTTTAAAACTAAGGACATTAGTTTTGTAAGGAGTCTGGTGTGGTGCTACAGGATAAATGTACTGGACTGAAGAGGTTGGTTTGAATCACAAGGTCAGTGGTTCAGATTCACCAGTCGCTCCTCGGAAACCCTATACAGGGTTGCTATGAGTTGGAACCGACTCAAAGGCAGTTAACAACATCAATTATATTAAAGAAAAATTGAGACATAAATTTTTGTCATAATTAAAGATTGGTTTTCTAGTAAAGAGAACATAACTAAGGCTAAAAGTTGACATGTTTAAACTGTATGTAAATTATGACAATTCTGTAAAAGAGTGACCAGATTGATTATGGTATTTTAGGCTGTAAGCCAGAGAAATGATTAAGACTAAAATTTTCACTTTGGGACTTTACAGTTATACTAGAAATGCTTATATTACCTTATTAGGTCTTTCTTATGGTGTACCATTTCTTCTTTTCAATAAAAGCTTTGGTGGTAGATCTGTCATTTTGGTGTCATTGAGTTTCCCTTGTAATTTTTTTTTTTTTTTTGGTATGTGTGTGTATGGCTTATAGATAAAAATTGGTATTCTTCTAGGTCGTATAGACATTAACCTTGAATATAAAGTTCTCTGCTTTTAAAAGTTTTCTTTTTTAATGCTACTGGATTTTAAGAAATTCTCAAGAATCTCTGAAGGCTTACCAAGGACATCCAGCTGCACAGTAAAGGTGGCTTCTCCTGCTCTATTCTTGGCAACACATACATAATCCCCTGCATCTGAAGTTCTGACCACTTCAAAGATGAGTGAATGAAAACCCTTCTCAGATACTATCATTTTGTGTAAATCATCTGATTGAACTAGTCTTCCATTTAGATACCATGACACATCAGGAGCTGGCAGTCCACTTACCTAGAAACAAAAACACAGGGAGATGACAAAAATTTAAAATTCACTGTCACTAGAACCTACTTGTCTATTTATAAATTATAACAATTCCAAATCGGAGTGGGTATGCGTTTAAAAGTCTAAAGTTAGAGTTCAAAAAGGTATTTGTGTTTAATACTTTTTAACAAAACAAAGTGTTTAAAACCATTGAAATAATACAGTATTTTCAGACTATTTTGAACCACACCTAGCTCTTTCTCATGCAAGCTTAGGCTCTTTTAAGATCTTTTAATGACTGTATTTACAACATTGTTGTTGTTGTTGTTAAGTGCTGTAAATCTTTACCAGAGCAAAAAGCCTCATCTTTCTCCTGTGGAATAGCTGGTAGTTTCAAACTGCTGACCTTAAGGCTCGCAGCCCGATTCATAACCACTACACTACATTATATTTGGTCTCTAAGAGAAGTTTGGAAGTCATGTGGCTTTTTTGGTTAATGCTGACTCCAAATAAAGCCTCACAGGCGCATATATATGAAGCTTGCTGATATAATGAATAGCCTCTTGCAAAACAGAGTGTACTTGGGCCAGAATTCTGGTGTATAAATAGTAATTTGTTAATGTTTTTATATTAGACATAGCAAGTCCACACACTATTATTTATAAGAAATCTGTAAAAATATTTTTAAAAGTATTTCCCTAGTGTAGTGGTTACGAATCAGGCTGTGAACCACAAAGTCAGCAGTTTGAAACTACTAGCTGTTCCGCAGGAGAAAGATGATGTGTTCTGCTCCTGTAAAGATTTACAGCCTCGGAAACCCTGTACAAGGTCACAATGAGTCGCAATAGACTCCGTGGCACATAACCACCACCACCACCACCACCAAAATGATTATAATAAAATTGTAAGTTCTTCTAAAGATCTATTCTAGCTTGAAGAACTCTTTAGTTGGAGAGAAAGCAGGGTAGCCTGAATTATTTTGATGAAGGAGAATTGGGAATCTTATTAGTTATGAAAGCTTCACTTCTATGGAGCACTTACTAGATGGTAGTCACCATTGAAAGTACCATGGACTTTTAAGACAAATCTGTCTTAAAAGAAGTACAGCCAAATTGCTCCTTAGAAGTGAGAATAGCAAAACTTCTCTCTTGTTCTTTGGACATGTTGTCAGCAAGGCCAAGTCCTTGGAGAAGGACATAATGTTTGGAAAAATAGAGGATCAATGATAAAGAGGAAGACCCCCAATGAGATGGGTTGATACAGTGGCAGCAACAATGGGTTCTAACAGCAACAATGGTGAGGCTGGTGCAGGACTGGGCAGTGTTTTGTTCTGTTGTGCATAGGGTTGTTATGAGTTAGAACTGATTCTATAGCACCTAATGGTAACAGGCACTATTGTGAGTACCTTATGCTTAGATTTATTATTATCGTTTTACAGATGAGACAGAATCACAGAGAGATTAGTAACTTGTTTAAGGTTGCAGAGCTGGAAAGTGGTAGAATCAGGATTCAGACTTTGTGTTTAGCTCCAGGATTTGTGTTCTTTACTATGCATAGTGTTTCTCAAGGTGTGTGGCAAGTTATGAAGTAGAATGATGACACTTTACACATCAGTATCCCATTGTTAATTTTTTCACAATATTTTTGAAACCTCTTACTTTAAAGTCCATTCTGCAGAATCTTCCTTCTTCAATTGACATGTTTTCTGGCACTTGAATGAAACGTGGTGGGTAAAATTTCTCTTGGATTGCATCCTGATCATTCACATCTCCCCTCGAGGATGATCTACTTCTACAAAAATGTTTTAACAATAGTTGCATAAAAGTCGTTCTTTTTTTCCATTCACACAAATATAATTTAGTCACAAAATTTGAACATCAAGAGTACATTTTGGCCTGATAGTGTAATAACAATGGAGAAAGGCCTTAGAGTTCTGTTTAGCTGAGGCATATTTGATGACTTAGGAATTATCGTAATGTAGAAACATCTGGTACAAGTTATACATCTCTATTTCTTTTGAAAAGTCATGAATAGATGAAGAAACTCGTCAATTCAAATGTAGATTACTGTTCTTGTGGTCTGTTTTTATTATGTGTGTGAAGATTTTATAATTAGAATTTGGTTTCCATTGGCATGAGAAAGTTGTTTAATATAGAAATGTGGTCCTGGTTAATTTGACCAAAACATTAAAAACCTGCCTCTGAGATATTTTGGATAATTAACATAAAATATTTGATCATCATCTTGGACATGAGAAAATTTATATTGTTTTAAAAGTTAGTCTGAGGGCTTTATAAATATTTATATTTTAGAACAAAACATTTTAAGTACATGCATATATATAGATTTATGAAAATTTTATTTTTACCTTACTTGTGATGTTGGAACTTGCAGTCGTGCATGTTCTGAGTTGTGCTGCTTGAAATTAAAGCAAAGTGAAAATATTAACATGCAGTTGTTAGCTTGAAATACAACAGAATTAAGAATTAAGTAGTTGTATTTTAAAGGAGGGGCCTGATGTGGCGCTGTAGGATAAATACTGGACTGCTAACCCCAAGTTCGGCAGTTTAAAATTACAAGCTGCTCTGCAGGAGAAGAATAAGACTTTCTGCTTCTGTAGAGATTTCCAGTCTCTGGTAGCGTAGTGGTTACGAATCGGGCTGCGAACCTTAAGGTCAGCGGTTCGAAACTACCAGCTGCTCCGCGGGAGAAAGATGAGGCTTTCTATTCCCGTAAAGATTTACACCCTCGGAAACCCTATACAGGGTCGCTATGGGTCGGAACCGACTCGATGGCACTTAACAACAACAACAAACACTATACAGGGTCGTTGAGTCAGAACCAACTCAACAGCACTTAACAATAACAACAGTTGAAAGAACAATTTTGGTCAGTGATCTACTACTTATGAAATGAAAGGTACAGTTGGGCTACATTTGTAGAGGTATGGCGGTTGTTGTTGTGTGCCTTTGAGTCGGTTCAAACTCATAGCAACCCTCTATAGGGTTTCTAGGAGTGGCTGGTGGGTTTGAACTGCTGACCTTGTGGTTAGCAGTCTAGTGCTTATCCTGCAGCACCACACCAGGACTCAGAGTTATGGTTGTTTTGTTTTTGTTAAGTGCTGTCAGGTCGGTTCCAACTCATAGCAAACCTGTATAGGGTTTCTGAGGAGCAGCTAGTGGGTTTGAACCACAGACCTTTCAGTTACTAATCCAGTGCTTATTCTTCAGCACCAGAACTCCATAGTTATAGTTTGTTCTGTATATATTTAGCTTATAAACATTTAAAATACACTATCTTGCTATTATAGCAGGAAAGTTTCAAGACTAATAGGACTTTTCAACAGGTATTGATTATTTATAAAAATAAGCTAGACTTTGAATTGAGGGTGGTTTATTTTTCAGATTACTATTTTATAAGAAAGGGAGACATGCCCCTGGTGTATTTGAAATGGGAGTACAGGGTACAGATTGTTCTTCAGTAAAACAGGAATAGACATGTAGTCACTAGTGTTGGCAGTAGGTATAGGGTATTATGTCTCCTGCTAAAAAGTGGCACCAACAACAATAAACACACATTAGATTGGAAAATTCTTCCCTTTTTAGCTCATGGCACAAAACTCTAATTGATGCCATAGGAGATTGTGTAGAGCTACAAAAAAGCCTCGAAAACAATAGTAATCACTTCTTGTTTAATAAGATCTGTTGAGTTTAAGTAAACATCTTTAACATCAGAAAACTTTTTTATTTGAAAATCAAATCAGGAATTGAATTAAAAAATTGTCATGTAATTAATTGATTATATATTAAATATAAATATCTTTTATATCTTCTACTGTACTTGGCACAATGGGAGACATGAAGAAGTGGAAAATATTGTCTTTACTTTCCAAACTACTAAAATACATCTATAAAGGAGTCCTGATGTGGTTCTGTAGGATAAGCACTGTACTGCTAACTATAAGATCAGTGGTTCAAACCCATTAGCCACTCCTTGGAAACCCTATACAAGGTTGCTATGAGTCAGAAACAACTTGACGGCACTTAGTAACAATGACAGGAACACATATCTGAGTATAAAGAATTTATTTTGAGGTATGCCTATTTAGTTAATGTGTTTTGTCATTTTAAGGCAAAATTATTCCACCTGTGTAACAACAATTTTTGTTGAGTGAGTCCTGGTGTGGCACTGTAGGATAAGCACTGGTCTGCTAATCACAGGTTGGTGGGTCAAAACCATCAACCACTCTTCAGAAACCCTATAAAGAGTTACTATGAGTTGGAGCCAATTTGACCACACTTAACAACAACAGCATTGTTCTCTAGGAGTCCCTGGTTGTACAAATGGTTAACATGCTCAGCTGGTAATCAGAAGGTTGAAGGTTCGAGTCAACTCGTTGGTGCCTTGGAAGAGAGGACTGGGAATGTACTTATGAATAACTGATAACGCTGTGGAGTACAGTTCAACTCTGACAAACATGGGTCACCATGAGTTGGAATTGATTCAATAGCAGCTGTTTCAGTTAAACATCAAAACAACTGGGCAGTTCACTGAACAAACAAATAATTTTTTGATAAAAAAGAAAAGCTAATGAAAGCCTGAAATATTCAAACTGAATCTTTTGCTTTTTTTCCATATTTCATTTGTACCATAGTTTGATGACATTTTTGTAATGTTTGGGTATATTGTTTGAAATGTACATAAAAATGTAAAATGTACTTTTTCTAATTTCACAGTGATATGTTATTGCTGCTATCTTTTTTCTTGGTGTTATCACCTTCATTTTAAAGTTATTATAAAAATGAATGAGAAAAACAGTGCAGCCTGGTCTTTGGAATCATATGCTGTGTACATATAAGTCATTATCAACAGAGCATTGCTTTGTGCCGTTTCTACCAATAGAATTAGATTTGTGTCTTATTCCTGACATAATCTCCCTTACCAAGTCCAGAACCAAGTCCACAGTATGTGCTTCATACTTTTATACATCAGTTGAACAAGTGAATGAATGCATGAAATAATCAGTAGCCAAAAAGAGGTGATGGCATGGAGAGATAGAGCAGCTGAGGGCTCTAGACTCATGGAAAGAGAAAGGCTGTGTGCTAGCCGGCAGGAGGCTGGCTTGCAAAATATGTCCTTTGATTGTTTAAATGATTATATAGTCCTGCATGTTTTTTTGTGTACGTCTAAAAAAAAGAGGGAATAGAGGCAAATACTGTTAGCCAATGGTGCATGGAGGGAATTGTAATCATCTCACTGAGACAAAATACAATTGGTTGAGTGCAAAACCAATGTTCTCCCATATAAACTACCACTCAATTCACAATAAAAACTTAAAAAATAAAAGAGAAATTCAAGTTGTAGTTTCATTTTCTAGTTACTTATTCTAATAGATCATACTGCATCATTTTTGTATGTCTAGAAGTCCTAGTGTGGTGCTATAGTATAAGCACTGGACTGCTAACTGCAAGGTTCACAGTTCAAACCCAGCAGCCACTTCTTGGAAACCCTATACAAGGTTGCTATGAGTCGAAACAAACTAAATGGCTCTTAACACCAAAAAGTACTATTCAACAGAACAAAAACTTGTTTTTTTGTGCTTCACATATTTGAAAGTTTGGAATTTTTGAGTGGCCAACATTATCCCTCTGGTTCCCAGTTTCTTATAGGCTGTGGGAGGGCATGAAAGATAACCAGAGAAGGGAGACAGAAAGATAAGGCAATAGCATTTTTCATCTGCTTCCCAACTGTGTATTTGTATTTGGGGTTAAATTTATTTAGAATAAATCTGGTTATGTGCAAGCTTGTGGGATATTCATTTTATGCCCTGCATAAAAGTAATTCTTTCTTGTAAAGGATGTTTTTTTTGTTAATTTTAGAGTCATTCTTAGAACCATAACTCCTTAGTTTTTTTTTTTGTTTTTAATCAGCAATTTTGGATATGGGAACATGACAAAAGGAATTGGATATTTCATGAATACTACAAGTATATTTTAAAACACTGAAATGAAAACTTATAAAAAAGGTTATAATTACTTTGTTTTAGAGTTTTATCATCTGTCTTGTTAAAGATTTCCAACTCATGAATTCTCTTCTAATTCAGACATGATAGAAAGAGTTCTTAGTCTAACTGACCCCAAAGTGTCCAGATTAATAGCCTTCGGGTGGCTTGACTTTTTGACATTTAATAGCTAGGTAGTAGAAAATACATATTTCAGCTCATCATGGCCCTTGTATATTTAATAAAGCATGGAAAACATTGACTTAATTCATACTATTTTTATGTTTTGTTTGTCATTTCTTTCATGTTATTCTAAAAAATCCAAGTAGTATACAACATAACAAATAACTTCTAAAGTAATGACAGTTACTTCAAAATTGCTGATTTGATTTTAAGGCAAAGAAAAGGACAAAAAGAGGAAGAAGGAGAAAGACAATTGGACAAAAGAAAAGTGCTTCAGTTAGATAAAAACTGTTTAATTTACCTGTGGTGAATCTTGTGCTTCGTTGTCATTTTGAGTTTGAAATACAGCAGCTGCGTCCTGTGGTCCTAGCAATCTGCGAGCCATTTTCTCCTCATATGTTAGCCGCTTTAAAGAAATGAGCCATTAAAGAGATAGTCATGTAAAAAATGTTTCCTACAACTTTTACCTTAAAATTGCCACTCTAAGTTAGAACTGCAAAGAAGTATAATTTTAGCTATTAAATCATATATTTTTAAAAAGCTTTTTCTAAGCGATATAGTATTTCCCTTTTATTCTAGTGCCACATCCCTCATCTATAATAAAGATTCACTTTGGCTTGCTTTTCACTTCTAGGAAAGTCAGGTATTTGTTGTTAAGTGCCATTGAGTCAATTCTGACTCATGGGGACCCTGTTTGAGAGGCTGGTGGGCTTGAACTGCCAACCTTGCTGTTAGCAGTCCTGTACGTATCCTAAGCGCCACACCAGCTGTAGTCACTCCTAAAGAAAGCTTTTCCAAATAAGGGGAAATTCTCTCCCTTCCTCCTTTTTTGCATGTTCCAATCTAGAAATATAGTACTACATGCTGTAATATTCAGAAATAACATTAAATGAACACCAAGTGTTTAACTGTTAATTTGTAATGGAAAACAGTGAAATATTAATATATAGGAAAATTTGGTAAAGGATATGTTAATGGCATTTGCATTGAAGGCATATAGTACTGTTGGGATTTTCAAAGATAAGTGACTATTGTTGTTGTTATATGCCATCGAGTCGGTTCCGACCCATAGCGACCCTGTATAGGGTTTCCGAGGGTGTAAATCTTTACGGGAGTAGAAAGCCTCATCTTTCTCCTGCGGAGCAGCTGGTAGTTTCGAACCGCTGACCTTAAGGTTTGCAGCCCGATTCGTAACCACTACGCTACCAGAGCTCCTTAAGTGACTATATAATTGTTAAATAATAGGAATGACAGCTATATTTATTTTCCCATCAATGTTATACATGAAAGTATACAAAGAAGCCGGGTGGTAGTATTTCCTATTAGTATTTAGCTATCAGACATTTTATGAGAGGGTAACGTTTAAAACAGAAAAAAAATTCCAGTTGATTTGCTTCATTCTTTTACTACTGAAAGCCAAGAGGTAATTTCACATAAGTAAATATAAGATAGAATCCAAGTATCCCCTCTTTTTAGCTAATCCTATTTCTTGTTGATAATATGGACTATAGGTCTGTGAGATTGAAAGAACTTTCTTATTCAGAATAGGTGTGATAGCTTAATAGATTTTTTGTACAAAATAGACATCTTGCGCACTTGATTTCCATTGTGAAGAAGGCTGTCTTTGCATTTCAGTTTTCTTTCCAAATCTTGAATCAAAGCTTCTTTGGATCCTTGGATTTCATGATCAGGAGTCCTTGGTGTGGGTTTCGCATTCGCAGGTTGAGATGGTTTAGCATTTACAGGTTGGCCAACTGAGGGTTGCTGATAGCTTTAAAAAGGAGAAAGAAAAGATTTTTTTTTTTTTTAAAAAGAAGGTCTTTAAAGTAAGATATGGTATCTAAAATAGGATTGGTCTTATTTTGTGTATCATTTTTAGATATGTTTTTGACTTCTTAGTATTACTAGTGTTATTAAAAACATTAATTGCCTTAATAGCAGCCAAAAAAGATTTTATAGGAATGATTGCTAGCTTTTCCCCCTTTATTCTTGGAAAATGAAAATTAAATGGCTGGAGGAAGAATTTAGATTATAAATAATAAGTATGTCCTTTGAAAATTTTTCCTAAAGAATTTGAGTATAAGTGATAGTCTACCTAACGGCAGCTTGAGAGCTCTTCCAACCTTACAAGTGAATTTCATAAATTTGATTGCAGGTGTTCAGGAGTGGCTCACATGGGCTCAAGAGAGTTGATTTTTTAGCATCTCTTCCCAGCTCTCTGTGGTCTCATGTTGATAGCTTGAAATTGGTGGTAGTAGTGGTGGTCATTTATACTGGGAAAATCAGTAAATGCCATAAACCATGGCTCTTTCCTCCAGAGCTAATTTTTAAACATTTATCACTGTACCAGTGGATATCTGTTGCTTTGAATTATATGGTCTCCTATTGGAGGAGAATATTCAAAGTGCCACGGGCTGCCAGAATAACCAATAGATCTGTGTTGGAAGAAGTGCAGCCAGAGTGCTCCTTGGAGGCCAGGATGGCCAAACTTCGTCTCTCATACGTCACACATATTCTCAGGAGGGACCAGTCGCTGGAGAAGGATATCATGTTTGATAAAGTGGAGGGTCAGAGAAAAAGAGGAAGACCCCCCCACCCAGCAAGATGGATTGGCAAAGTGGCAGCATCAATGGGCTCAAGTGTGGCAACAATTGTGAGGTTGGAACAGGATTGGGCAGTGTTTGGTTCTGTTGTGCATAGGGTTGCTATGAGTTGGTACCGACTTGATGACACCTAATAACAACAACAATTAATTTCCTTTAAATTTCCAGTTCCTATTCATTTTATGAAGTTCTGGTATGAATAAAGCACTGGACTACAAGATCAGTTTGAACCACAAGGTCAGTGGTTCAAACTCACTAGCCGCTCCTTGGAAACTCTATACATGGTCACTATGAGTCAGAACTGACTCAATGGCATTTAACAACAACAACAACTAATTTTATAAGGAGTCCTGGTGGCACTGTGGGGGGTAGGCATTGGACTGCTGACTGCAAGGATAACAGAAGTTGTCTACTCCCAGAAAGATCTGCAGTCTTGGAAATTCTCTGTAGGGTGACTATGAGTTGGAATTGAATATATGGCAATGTTTTTTGTTTGTTATTTATTTCATGTTATTCTAGAAAATCCAAGTAGTATACAACACAACAAATAACAACTTCTAAAGTAATGGCAGTTACTTCAACATTGCTGAGTTGATTTTAAGAGAAAGAAAAGGACAAAAAGAGGAGGGAGGGCAAAGAAAGAAAAATTGCAACAACAAAAGAAAGTTTCGAATAAAAAGAAGGCAAAGTTGAATAGTAATTGGAGTTTGGTTCAAGTCTTTATTCCAAATTCCAATCCTAAATTTGCTTCTAAACTGTCCTTGCCCTTCCCAGAGTTCCACTTTTGATTCTGAATGAGGTTAAGGGTAATATTACTGAGCTCTGTAATTTTAGATCTGTTAGGCAGCCACACATTTCACAATATTCAGTTTCCACCTAGTTTATTCTAGGGTTTTGAAGGTGCTAGTTTATATCATTCTGTTTAGTGTGAGAAACTTGGACACTGCCCTCAATGAATGTTTTATCATTATCATAATAAATGCTCTCCACTTATCCAGATAAGGTAGCCTTGTGTGCTAAGTAGAAATGTATCTTCTCTGAATAGAATAAATTTTAAAACTTTGTGCTGAGTTTAGGGACTTGGTTAGTAATTACCAGATTGTAAACATACCAAAAGAAAAAGAATGCTTATTATTCACTATTGTGTCATCTATATCCACTAATATCAAGCCTGGTTATGTTAAATGCCATCAAGTTGGTTCCAATTCTTAGGGACCCTGTATAGGATTTCTGAAGAGCAACTTTTGCGTTTGAGCTGCCGACCTTGTGGTTCACAGTCCAGTGCTTAGCCTACAGTGCCACACCAGGAGTGGTGGTGGTGGTTATGGGCTGTGGAGTCACTTCTGACTCATAGCAACCCTGTACAGGGTTTCCGAGGCTGTAAATCTTTATGGGAGCAGAAAGCCTCATCTTTCTCCCGTGGAACAGCTGGTGGTTTCGAACTGCTGGAGTAGGATATACTATATGTTGAGTATGAATGACAGTGTTTTTCATTGTATTCAAGATGGTGTATATTGAAAGTTGATGATACATATTTTACCAAACCAAAAGCCAAATCTGTTGCTATCAAGTTGATTCTGACTCATATTGACAGAGTAGAACTGCTTGATAGGGCTTCCAAGACTGTAAATCTTTATGCAACCAGATTGTCACATCTTTCTTCCTAGAGCAGCTAGTGAGATTAAACCACCAACCTTTCAGTTATCAACCTTGTGCTTAACCATTGTGCCACCAGGGCTCCAGCATTAGGTCTGCAGCATTGTCTATATAAATCTTTAACTAAAGGTTTGATCTGTTCAGTTAAGTAAAAGTGAAATCAAGTATTTTTTTCCTTTTTAACATAGAATTCCCAGGCAAAGTAGCAAAATTCCTTTGGGCTTATAGATCTTGAATATTTCAACTGTATAAAGTTAGAATCACTTTACTGTTTTGTTTTCACACCAGACTACTATTGTTATAAAAGTCATATGTGTTTATTAAAGTGAATTAGCATTAAAATATTTCTGTTTTCAGATTGTCATATATAATGTTACATATTTTAGAAATTCTGAAGGATTATTAAAACCAAGCTTGAGAATCAGTGATGTATATATAACTTTATTCGCTGAGTGTCCCCATATATTACCAGTTAGGATGACTTAAGTGTTAGGACCTGATAACAGCTTATATTTTTGAACTAATATTATGCTTGTGCACTTTTATTTTTCTATCATTAATCATCTCAACCCTTAATTTTGTTGTAGGTCAGAAATCTGAGTCACTGAGCAGGTAAGGTACTTACTGAACGCCACATAATCTACTTTTATGGTGGTGGTGGATATGTGTCGTGGAGTCGGTTCCGACTCAGGGTTTCTGAGGCTGTAAATCTTTGGGAGCAGAAAGCCTCATCTTTTTCCCACGGAACAGCTGGTAGTTTGAACTGCTGACCTTGAGGTTCGCAGTCCAATTCGTAACCACTGTGCTACCAGAGCTCCTTAACCTACTTTTATAGGAAGGGAATCATTATAAAGTAAAGAGTTATGCTCAGTTTCCAATTTGTGGTTTGATAATTTGATTAAATGATTAAAGGGCTTTCTAAGGAGCCCTGATTGCACAATAATTAAGCTGTCACCTGTTAACTGAAAAGACAATGATTGAAACATACCAATGATTGAAACATACCACATCTGTGGGAGAAGATGTGGCAGTCTGCTTCTGTAAAGATTTAGTCTTGGAAACCCTATGGGACAGTTCTATTGCATTTTATAGGGCTGCTATGAGTTGGAATCCATTCCACGGTAGTGAGTTTGGAAGGACTTTCTGCTGAGGAAAAGCTAAATAAAGCTTTCAGTCGTCTCTAGATCAGAATCAAGGGATTATTTTAGAAGATAGGGCAAAGTTAAGCCCATCATAACAATGAAGGAGTATGTGCACAAATGTTCAAAGGGCCAGAGCTTTTCACCCTGTACAGCTGGACATGGAATGGATATCAAATGACTTTGTGAAGATTATAAAAAGTTATCTATAGTTGCTGAAAATGGAACAGCTAAAACTAAATCTTTGATCTCTGTTTTTGGGACCTCCTATGCTTCATTTCTTATCCTCTCTACTTTTGCTTTCCTCCCTTCTCTTGTTAGGTCTGCCCACAGAGCTAAGTATGTGTTTGAGGCTCAATAAATACTTGTTTAATAGCTTTATTTTCTGGGCAGTCATGTGGAATAGAATTGCAAGACTTTACTAAGAAAAATAATCAGAAAAGATTTTTTCTTAATTGAAAAATGCTCATCATAGGAAATTTAGAAATAATGAATAGTTGATAGAAAATTACCATCTTGGTAAAATGTACCTGGAAAAAAATCTCTGATGTGTGATAAGGAGTATAATGAGAATTTGGAAAGGAAGAAAGAGAGTGGGCTGTAAATCCTTTAAGGCATTCTTTTAAATATTAGGTCAAACCTATGAGATTGCCAAGTTTGTAGGTTAATTGACTGACAGCCATTTAAAATCGTTCAGCCTAATACTAATATCTATAGATTCTGACAAATGTCTCTGGCTTTCCTGGTTTTTATTTTTTAAAATACTGAAAAGATTTCTTTGCAAGTTGAATTGCTGTAGTTGAATTCTTAATACTAGTTCTCTAGGTTTCCAGAGTTGTTAACAACAGAAATTTCTAAAAAATTGACATCTAGAAACGATGGAGACATTTTCAAGAATTGCAGGGGCTCTGTTAATAATCCTGCAACAAGACATTTTGTGAAGTGTCTCTGATTTAGTTTTCTGATACTCTAGCTAAGCCAAGGAATAAGAAAACTGATAGCCCTAAGTTTGCATAAGCACAAAGTATTCAGTCCATGTTTTAAAAAAAGCACAACCATTACATCCTTCACATCGGTTTCTCCCATGACAATTTTAGTGTTGTGGAAATAGTACATGCTTGCATAAGACTACAGGTATTCGTTCCTGTATTTATATCAGCCCAACCAATTTAAACAGTTTTAGCAAAGGAAACTCTAAGGTCATTAAGTCGTCATCTAGTCAAGTCTTCTTTCTCATCATGTTGTTGTTGTTATTAAGTGCTGTAGAGTCGATTCTGACTCATAACAACCCTGTATAGGGTTTCCAAGGAGCAACTGGTGAGTTTAAACCACTGACCTTGCGGTTCAAACCCACTTTGCAGTCCAGCACATAACCCACAGTGCCACACCAGAACTTCTCATCATAGTAAGGAACATTTATACACTTTAATGTCTGAATCGCAGATTTTTTTTTTTTCTTTTTTAAGTTAAGTGCATCAGAGGGGAAATGAATAGGAAGAAAAGACAAAAACAGAAGAAACTTAATAGCCTCTACTTATGTGAGAGGAAATCCTATCTGAAGAAGAGCAGACAGGTGTTCTTTGATCTCATCTGAGTCCAGAACCACAGGAATTAAATTCGCAGCATGAGGAATTTAGCTTAGAACCAGAGGGAAAACTCTCTGTTCTTGAATGTATTAGAAATCATGTGTGTGGTGTGTTTGAAGATGAAAAGTAATAGATTGTATAATTGTATGTCTTAAGGAGTGATTTGGGTTCAGCTCAGCATGGATACTGTAACAATGGGTCAACTCTGTTACTGCCAGTACCCTCCTCATTCAAGGTGTTCCAGGAGAATTATGGAATGAGACGTTGAGATCACATTGCCTTTTTAGATAGTGAAGAATGAACTGCAGCATACCCCCAAAGCTCAGATATAAGCTCACAATACATGCAAAATGTATATATATTCTTAGAAGCTCACTTACTTGGAGGCCATGGTGGAAGGTATTTTACTGCTACTGTAATCAGGCTGTGATGGTAATATGGAGCTGAGGAAACTGGCTGGGGACTGGTTATAGGTGGCTGTAACCCTTTGGCCTGGGTTGGAGCCAGTGAGCTGCTGGGGAGAAGCAGGGAAAGCTGAGGAAGACATCGTGATGTGAGAGCTCACTGTTGAGGAAGCAGAAAATCTTTTCTCTGTGCATTGGCTGGGCTGGATGATAATGGAAGATTGTTTGGTCTGGCTAGAGAAACTGGAGTTTTCCGGTCCTGGAGGCTGCAATCTGGAGCCACATGGGTTTTGGGCCTGGATGAAGTGTTTTGGACGTTCGTAGTTAAACATGTTTAGCTGGTATGTGGAAGATGAAGGCAAATTATTGCTATAATGATTTACTTCTGGAGGGTTGGGGTCCTGAATTTGGGATTGCAGAGCTGGAATTTCGGAAGGTGGCAGGGAATCAGAAGCAACCTTTTTCTGCCCTTCCTTGTTGAGATCCTGGGAACACTTTGCTTCTGGCTTCGATGGATTGGATTTCTCTTGAAGAATAATGTTCCTTTAAAAGGAGAAAGTAATTAATGAAAGCCACGATATTTGTTTAAATAACAATGCTGTTTAGTTAACATCTTTAGGCGTTCATGTGCTTTTAAGGTAGGCTTAAGGTTGTACTTTCTTGACTTTTAGATTTCTCCTTCCTTTATCTCTATCTTTGCACAAATGACCTTTTCTCTGACAATAAGAAAAAGGATTCATTGTTCATATGGGATTCTTAAGAAAACATGCCCAAGGACTTCAAGAAGTAGGAATGCAAAGTTGAATTTTCTAAGTTATTATTTATGAAAAGAAATTCTGTTATGTTGCTCAGTGTGATATTTTCATGGTCTCATGGTTAGCAGTTGCCCAGAGGTAATATTTCATTAACCACAGAAATTCTATGATTTAAAATTAATCATGGTTAAGTAAATAGCATTTCAGTGCCTATTAAGTCTGAATTCTTCTCATTGCTCATCAAAACAGGTTAAGAGACCTCCTGATAAATCAGTTAATTCATGTTTTAATGATCTGTTAAAAGTTAAAGTCTTGGTAAAACAAAGGAAGCAATATGTGTCTTCTGTAAAGACCATTGCTTTAATGTAAATATTTACTTCTTCATGTTTTCACAATTTCACAAAGTAGAATGGGCAACTACAATTCACCATTGTTAATTTCGAGTGAAAAAATTTAAATCATATAATTCATTGCCTCTTAATTGTACCTTAATTTCAGATTGTTCATAGTACCAAACTTAATGATAAAGAAGGAATATGTGCATGTCTGTCTGTCTGCATGTGTATAAGTTACTGATTGTATTCTAGAGCCTTTTGTAAAAATTTCGGTAAGTTTTTAGATTATACTTTCTAGTTATTAGTCTTGAAGTTCTTTTAATTATGTAGAGTGTTTTAATTATTTAACCTGTATACTGTATATTTTAGACTAATTTCAAAGTTGTTTTAGCTCTTTTTTACTTTTTTGAAATAACAGACAGGAAGTACAGGAAGTAAGGCAACTCAGAAGCAAGTCTCTGCTTTACCAAGAAGGGAGGCCACCATTACTCTCTGTTAACTTTGTAGTGAGTGGCGCTTCAATGACTAATTTGCCAGTACAGTTAGTCTTTAACGATTATATTTGCCTCTTCTTTCATTAGAGTGATAAACCTGAGCAGGGCTATATTACATACAAAGACTAGTCCTATAAATTATTGCAACACTGAGCTTTACTCAAATTATCAAGTAATTTACTTAAAATACATTTAGTTGGGTTTTTTTTTTTTTTTTTTACACCATATAAACCAACACTGAGTTAATGATAAACTTTTAACTAATAAAATTAACCAAATTGTTTTCATCAAGTCTTGTAGTTTTAAAGTTTCTATTTTGAAGATTAAATCATTGTTAATGAAACATTTCCAGACCAAAAATGTCATCCTACGGTTGTGCATGTAGTTTTGAGTTAAATTAAAACTAGCAGTTATAGGAAAGAACAAAAATACAAACAGTAAAAGAAAGACTAATGGGAAAGAGAAAATAAAAACTGAAAAAGTCATATATTCCTTAATTTCAAGTTTATGAACATAAGCACCTTCAACAAGAGTACATTTCAGTGATGAACTTTTTTAAAATTGTTGGGGAAAAATAGCCCAAGGAGGAGACTTAAATTAGATATTTACAAAAAAGACTACTTCAAGGCAAGTAGTTCTGTAGCTATTAAGTTGTATTTATTGAAATTGCAGACTTGAATCTGGGATTTGGTTTTTACATTCTTTTTTGTCCAGGTGAACTATTTAAACTGGTTTCAAAAATGATAAAAGAAACCGTTTAAAAGAAATTATTTAAGAAATAGTAAATGGTTTCCAGATGTGTTTCCTATTTTTTCTTCATACGAATATATTCAAAATGTAAATTGGACATTTTGGTACTGTTCTCTATAATTAACAATTACTGATATTATTGAAGCCCAATTAAAAACATATAATCTTTCAAAAGTTTCATTTCTTTCATATTTAAAAAAAATTTATATAGACATATACACATTCTAAAAGACTTTCCTTCATGTTTGAAGTATTATACAACGATTCAGTTCTATAACACATTATATAACATTATTGTTTTTATTTCAAATAATATTACATAGATTTTAAAAGGTTTTATAAATAAAGTACTACTTAGTCTGCTGTCTTAAAAAAAGTCTGAGCTTTCTTTCCTATCTTTAAGATAGCACAGACTTAGAAAAACTGAAAGGATATTTTAAAGCCATATTATGGTCAGATACTTTCATAAGACACACAACTACCTTTACCTCTACCCTTTCTATAATGATTTCCAGTTTTCAGTGGAATGAGTAGATCACTTTCTTTTAAAATCTTTGTATAATACCATTACAATGTTGTGGCATTCAGACTGTTTATCTGAAGGTCACCTTTGTATACACCCTTCTGATTTGGAAACAAAACAAAACAAAAACAAAACTCAAAACTGTAGCAGGAACAAAGAAGACACTTACCAGTAGTTTCCGAGGATGCCAGCTGGGTTTAACCCACTATTGAAGGGAAGGAAGAGGCATCCCCTTCCTTCACAGCCTAATCTAGTGGCTCTGTGCTTAGTATTATAGCACCACTGACTTTTATCAGCTGCCAAACAGTGACATCTGATGTTCTTGCCTGTCCATCTACCTATGCTGGCATGTCAAAGTAAGAGTCCACAATCTAAACAATATCTCAGATGTCTTAGTGATATTTAAGGAGTGGGGTTACATGAGCTTCTCCTGCAGGCCTTGTTATTTTAGATGTCAATTTTGACTATGAGCTGTGTAAGCTCATGGAGGAAGTACAGTAAATTGGAAGTGGGGAACGTATAAAGAGAACTAATTTTCTTTATTGTGATGGATTTGAATCTTCCCCATTGAAGAGAGAATGGCTTAAAAGAGAAAGAGAAATGGTCAGAATTCTAGGACTCTAGAAAGACACAGAGATAAGACCAGTAATATATTGAGCTCCAAATTGATTTGGAATCCTTCATTTGAGGGTTTTGCTTTCTTTCCGGTCCTTCCCCCCCCCCCCCCAATCTTTTCAAATGAGAATGGGGACTGAGTGGAGTTTAAGCAGTTTGCTCCAAGAAAGTTTGTGTGATCTGGCAAAGGCAGGAGAGCAGGATCGTATTGATACTCTCATGTTATTGGAATGGTCAGGAAATGGAAACACATGTTTCATTTTATTTTTGCATGTTTTTTGAATCTGTATCGCATATACCCCCTTGACTCAGAACTTTTATTCTAAAGGAATTCTGAAATATTTATGGAACAACCAACCAGGAGAAAGACCTGGCGATCTACTTCCTAAAATTAGCCAATGAAAACTCTATGTATCATAGCTGAATGTTTTCTGATCTAGTGCTGGAAAGTACTCAAAATGTGGCTGTAACAATAGACGAGAGTATTAAAGATGGTGAAGAAGGTACAGAAAGAGCCAGTGTTTTGTTCTGTTGTATGTGGGATTGCCATCAGTAGGAGGTAACATAGCATTGCTAAAACAAAGCATGTGGAGTGAGAGTTGAGGAGTACTTATGATTTTAAGAAGAATGGGGGGAAGATGAATGCTCAAAAAGGCAAAAACAACAAATGTCCAACAAAGTCAGTATTGAGAATCCAACATCGTGCCTGAACCTTTAGCATAACAATAGTGATACGTATTAATTATATTTAAGATTGTATTATTTTTTCAGAATTAAATTATACTAATTTCAATTGTCTTGTAGTAATAAGAACTTCTATATTGGCAAAGAACATAGCATAGCCCTTTCTCTGAAAACTATTTTTTTAAACTGATGAATAATGAAGACTGAAGAGACATGAAGACAAAAAAAACCACACACACACACACAAACAACCAACCAAATAAGCAATCTATATATACCATCAGGGCTCTATCAAAGCTCTCTCATCTTCCTTTACTCCTAACAGTTAACACAGTTTCTTTTTGCAGTGAAGACCATTTTGGTATTTAGGTATCTACTTTTGCAGGTAAAGAATTACAGAGGAAGAAACCTTTGAACAACAGAAGTGATGGAGTGGAGTGGGTAGTGTGATGATCAGGCCAAACGAGTGGAATTTGGTATAGTTCAGTTGTTTAAAGTGTATCTGGTTTTTTTTCTCCTTCTTGGGTATCCAGTCTTGATTTAATTTCCATGTACCTTAGAGCCCCAAAAGTAGATATTTGAGCACAGATGAGCTCTATCAAATTCTTCCTAGCTGACTGTAGGTGTGCTTTCCTTTGGAGTTCAGAGAAAGTTCGACAATTGCCTCCTGGGCACACAGCCCGAAAAAGGAGGCTAGACTTGATAAGTAGGTGGTTGCCAACAAAGTTTTATTTCAGGAGTCCTCCAAAATATTTCTTCACATCTGCTCACTGATATTTTAAATTCCATTAACAGAGACAAAACCTTTCAATCTAAATTAGAATTATTTACAGACTTAAAATGCAACTGGTCAGGGCATAATAAAAATAAAAAGAATAGGCAACACATATAGCACTTACTATGAACAAGGCACTATTCTTAGCATTTTAAATGTGGTATGTATATGACTGATTATATATATATATATATTTTTTTTTTTCCTCCTTCTTTTCTTCTGAGAACAGAGTTTAATTAGGACAAGGAGGAAGGGAGATAAGATTTGAGGTCCCTTTATGCCTAATTGTTAAGTAGGAAAGATGTCCAGGACAAATTGCTAAATCTCCAATTTTGCCTAAGGCATGTTCTGCAGGTACCACAGTTGAAGCAGAATTTTAGTTCTATTTACTCTTTGTCCTT